TTCATAAGCTTCCTCATGTGATCGTTTGCTATCACAGCGACCAGGATGAAGACGTAGTTGCTGTGTAAATTGCTGATGAGACTGTTTTTTATCTTGCTGGAGACTTTGATGGCGAGCGAAATCCTGTTCTTCGCACTGGTAGAGGCGACGGTGGTGATGGAAATTTTCATGATAAGCCTTATAAGAGTGATTCTTGCGAGAACTAGAAGAGAGGGCAAAATGAAGAACATAGCAAAGCAAAAAAGTTAAGCAATTAATTTGAAGATGGCATTAGGCTACATAAATAAGTTGGAAGTGAAATTTTTTTACAAAAATCGGATCAGTTTAAGTGTTGAGATGTGCTCTTATTGCTAATCGTGTTTCAATGAAATGAGCTTTGAATAGAAATTTTTTAAACAATATATAGATTTGTTTTGATAAAAATTACCTAACAATCTAGCTAAGCCAAGAATAAATTAACAAAATACTATTAGCTATATGGTACAATGCATTGAAGCAGAGTAGAGATAAACTAAACAAAACAAGAAACTAAGATATGATGAACAAGATGGTGTGGCCCTCGACATGGCCGCAGTCGCATTTCAATGCATAGAAGTGGGTTGACTCCGTTTTCGCAACTTGGTCTTTTTACTAAATCCGCAGTCTGACGCTGAGAATTATAACTAATATGGCAGAGGACTTAGGAGAGGGTTCGCCCAACTAAGTCTCTCTGAAAAGATTAAGTTGCGCAAACGAGGTCAACCCACCTCAAAACAAGGAATCTTTTAATTCAGATGAGCCAGTATGAAGTATTTGTAAAGGCAAACAAGCTGTTCATTGGATATAAACAGTTTTAAAGATTGGAGAATGAATAGAAACTCGTAAAATATTTTATTCACATTAAGCTTAATGAAGCAAAAAGATCAATGTAATAGTGGTGTGCTTGTTGCTTTAGAAAAAGTAGAAAAGAATATAATATAATTCAGTATGTCTGAGCAAACGCACAAAAGTACGCAAGGACTAACAATGCATGGAAATCTCCTAATTGCAAGTCTAGATACCAAATGTTTCTTTATGAAATGAAATAGGCAGGAGGCTTCACTATGACTTGCTCATCAAAAGGATTTCTGATTCAGGTTCGGCTGCAGTTTTGACTTCGCCCATGTATCAGCAGGGGTTCTTACGCAAGATATACTCGTAGACTTAAAAGTAACTCTCATCGAAGCTAAGTAACAACGTCGATTGCAATGATAATTGATAATTCCACCATAAATGTGCGTTGGGAAAGACCTGGGCTGCCTTGAATACCGCATCCGCTCTATAACGTACCAACCCAGATGGTCGTGAAGTGGAGTGGGATAACCTCGCCACAGTACTCACGATCAGGTATCAAATTGGGTTAGGTGTGCTGATGAGACACAAGTCAGTTTCAAAACGGAGTTCACTCTGTAGGATATAAACTTTCGTTAAACAAAGTGAATTTCAATGGCGACTAGAGCCTTGAAGGGACTTTTAAACAAAAGAATGATAAATTTGATGGAACAACTTCGGAGCGATAGTTGTGGGATCTAAAATTAAAAAAACCCCGACGAAAAAAACAGCCAAATTGGATGAGAACTTAGCTACTCTAGGTCGCTTAAGGTGATTTAAGAATGATAGTTGAATTTGTCTACAATTAGATGGTTAAGCTTCACGACGCAATTTAATTTCACATAGCCATGTCTTCAAAAAGCTTATCACAGTCAGTTTCGGCTTTTCTATTAGGTTTAATCAGCATCTCCAGCAAGATTCGATATCGGGTCGTGAAAATAATGGTGACGCTTACTACTCCACTCCATAGCTACGGGTGCCATTTGGTCACAAGGCAGAGGCTACATCCAAGACAGACCAGGCCTATTCCAACTCAGTTAATAATGGGAATGTTAATTAAGCAAACATGTTTTAGTCATTTCATTTAACGATGGTACTTATTTTATTATAAGTAGGCTTAAATAATAATTCTTGAATATGAACTTAGCCATTAGATCACCTAAGGTGATTTAAAGATTGATAGCCGCCCACAAACTTATCTTGTCACCACGATAAGGATGAACAGATATAACATCTCACCAGGGTTGTAGATGAGACGTATACAAGGTCAAAATCGCAGTCCTCTTTGGATAGGATAAGCTTTGAGGATCAAGGCTGTGAAATTTAATGAAATCATTAGGCTTATTCATTTCATTGTTGGAAAATACTCATCAATCATAGGGTAGGCTAGGTTGACTAGGTTCTTATTCAATAATCACTTATAGTCTCTTCACGACTTAATTCGAGAAAAAAATAAATTGCCTTCTTCAAAAGTGATGTAAATTTAATATTAGATCACTAGATGTTGTGACAACATAGGTAATGAAATAACTTGGCTAAAACACATAAGAATGATATTCAGAGAAGAAAAATAGGAGGGTACTTACATGATAGCCTTATTGGACCGATATTGCTTTATTTGAGCAAATATCTCAGCATCCGATTGATGCTTCTGTGAAGGGGAAGCACAGGAGAGACGGGAATCTTTAGCATTTAGATAAAGTATTTCGGCGTCATCTCGGTCATGGCCGACAGAATATTTTTCCTCAGCAAAATTGATTTGTGAAGATGCCTGTGTTCTATCTTCTTCCTCTTTCACATTTGCCTCTCTCTCGTCACTTTGTCCCGAGGAAAGGGCCCTCCTACCATCAGTACAGCACCATTCATCGGAGGCTGATAATGCTTCATAACCTGGCTTGAGCCCACGCCTAGAAGCCAGATCAAGGCTGCTTACATAAGGAGGCCGACCGACGCTCCGGCGTTTAGGATGTCCATCTCGAGGCTCGCGACCGGCCTTTACCGTGGTGTGGTTGCTGCGGGTTCTATTTGGCTCGACTATCAAACTGAAAGGCTGAGATTTCGTCAAATTAGCCTGGCCAACAGGAGGCAAATTGTAGTCGGGACTAGTCAAAGGGATCGCGTTTGAGACGGAAGAAAGGGAAGTTCCTTGGTGAATAGATACGTGATCTTTAACTTCAGAGTTAGCCAGCAGTTGTCGCCCACATAACTTAATTGAACTATCTCTCCCTCTCTCTTCTAATTCTTCTACTTCTAAAACTTCATTTTCCTCCTCTTCGAACTTTGCATCAGCTTTGTGAATTAGATTGTTATCAACTGCGGATCTGGGAGGATGGCATGGCTTCAAGCTTGGTTTTGTGCTAACATTCTGAAATGCGTCATCGCCGGCTGCTTTCTGCAGATGTTGCTGTGCGTAATTGGGGAGAGGAGCGAGAGCTTCACGGAGAGTAGGACTTCCATCGGTCACCAGAAATATCGGAGTCTTAGGCGGTAAGGTAGGCAACTCTTTCTAGATAAAAATGGAAAGTGCAATACGGTCAGTAAGTGGTGCAGAATGCAATAAGCAAGAACAGAGTAAAATGATCAAAGTAAATGCCTATTGATCCCTCAAATGTTTTCCCACATTTATTTCATAATTGAATGATCATTGGTGAATTATTAAATCCGTTAATTAATTCGGTTTAGCATAGTCAAGAAGCCATGACGTCATACGTAATAAACATTAGGATATTATGAGCGTAGTAAGGCGGACCACTTTGGAAAACACCCAAAGTTGTATTGCATTACGAGATATTATAAGGACTGTTTGGCCTATTTGTCACAAGCTAGGGAATTCTAAAATTAAGGCAATTATCATTCAAGAGATAAAAGGAGCACAAATAGTGATTGGCATAGTTTCCAGGTTGTGAAGTAGTCCAACATAAGGTTGAATTAATATGAGCTTACTGCGAGCTCTTGTCCATGAGTTGAAACTGAGGAGAAATCTTCATCGACATCGGTAGCAAGTTCAGCCTCCACGTTCTTCTGAACTGGTATGCCGGCACCATTCACATCTACCTGGTCCTGCCAGCCATTTTCTCCCAATATTCCAGATTTAGGTATGGCATGTTCCGAATTCATGAGCGTTTCAAGTCGCCACGAAAGCAGTTCATTAACGTCTGTCGGCTTCATGAGCTCTACGGGATCATCGCGTAGCGCAAGTGAAGGAGTGGAATTGGTTGAAGTATAAGCTTTGACAGGATCAGGTGACCCCATTTCATTTGCTTTATTATTGGAGTTTAAAAGCTGGGAAGACTTGGTGTCAGAGCAAGGCTTGGGCGGCTGTGTGGACAAAAGGCTGCCCGAATAAGTAGAATGCAGAGTAGGACTTTGACTTTCTAGCATTTCGGAGGCATTATCAACGCCTGTAGAGCAACTGGAGTGCTTGCGGCGTATCTGAACATCGAAATATCGTAATACCATAATGATCAGACATGCATATTCACTAATAATATAATATAATAATGATGTTATGGATAGCACTAACTATAAAGGATATTTACAAGTAGCACACATGCTACTTACTATGTGTGAAGTGTGTATATGAAAGTTGATAAATTAATGCAGCATAAATATATATGTACAAATACATTCACACACGCATATATACATATACATATAAATAAATAAATAAATATAAATAAGCGAATGTCGACCAGAGGATTAAAACGAACTGTACCCTACAAACTTGACTTACCTGACTTGATTGGATCAAACGCATGAAAGCAGCTTGATGACGTTTCGCAGCCACTTGTGCCCCAGCCAACTGAGCTCGATGCCTAGCAACGCCAATTGAGCGCCTACGCTGCTCCAACGTCAAACGCATCACAGTCATTCGAGCTAATGGGCTGCCCACAGCGGGATCCGCAGATTTAATTGCTAATTCGGATAGCACCGCATCGGTACATTTATTTGTCTTCTGCCCATCTTCAACTCCTTCAATAGCTTCGTCTTTCAATGGCTCGGCTGCAACTGGTGGCGGATTACTTGGAGGATCACTAGATTGATTTATCTGCAGAGAGGACTTCTCCTCAGGAGGATGCGCTTTGGTGCCAATGGGTTGACCAGAAGAAGAGCTATTAAATGTTCGGTTGCGCCGATCAGCTGATTCTCTTGCCCAAGTCGTAGTCCCAGGAGTAAGACTAAAATGCATACTTATCGCATTAAAATTGTCATGTCAATAACTGGTATATATACATATATATATAAATATATATATACATAAAGAGAGAGAAAGAATGAGAAACTTCCGTTTCTCCTTTAAGATTGTATTCCCAAGGACGCTCCTTCCTGTTTTTCGAAATATGTTCTAGATTTAAGTGACTATTTTACTGTTCGTGTTGCTTTACAAGCTCCTGGATATTTGCCTAGACAATAAGCGAAAGCACCGCTAAATTTTCTACTTCAGTCTTCTATCCACTAATTTTATTTGTTTATAAATAGGGTTTCGAGACTACCAATAAGGTAGTCATATGAGATGTATTCAACCTATTTCGTTTAAGGTAATGAAGGACTGGCTGTTGAAGTTTCCCATAATGACATGAGTAGAGCTAAGGCTTCCATTGAATATCACATATCCTTGCTTTTCAAAAAGGTGTTCCCATCCAGGGTGGACTGCAGTTTCGACCTCGCCTAGATCTTATCGACACCCCCATTGGAAGCCGAACCATGGCAGCGCAGTGTGTAATCTTGAAACTTTAACCACTACGCTACATTGTTACGAATGTCCTTGCGTCAGAAGGCAGAGGTGGCTTTCAACTTACTTATAACCGAGAAATAAATAATGTAGTCGATTTCTATGGCAAAACTAACTTTGCCCACCAAAGAATATGAGATAGAAAAATCCTTGGCCTTCCTTGAAATTCACATCTGCCCTCTGATCCAAGGGAAATCTTGGCAATGTGGTTAAGATGTCGATATTATACGCTGTATTGTCATAGTTTGACTCAGGCTGGGGGTGTTCATAATACCTAGGTGAAGTCGAAATTACGGCCAACCTGGATGAGAACGCCTTTTGGGAAAGTAATGATATGCGAAATTCAATGGAAACGTCAGCTCTACCCATATCATTGTGGGAAAATTCAACTACCAGTCCTTCATCATCTTATACGAAATAGGGTAAATAAATCTTATATTCATTAAATTTCTTTGAACAAGAATGTCCACGATTTTCATGATATACTGTTTTCTTGTATTTTCGCCGTATACGGCCAGTCTTTTAGTTGCATTCCAAACGGGGCCTGGGCATTAATAACAAGCTAGAGATTAAGAAACAGAATAAAAAAGGGATTCAGACTTATTGGTTAATTGGCCCCTTAATAAAATATCCAAATTTGATATTAATAGGCCGAATAAAGGCAAACGAGATCACACAGAAGATGCTCCTACAATAATAAATCCCAAGGATCAAATAAAAGAAATTCAAGTAGTTAATTTATCTTAGTTTCCTCTCGATTAAAAATCTATGGCGATCCTTAATAAAGGATTAAATCCTGCTTTCCCGAATGAAAGTAATGTTATGGAAAAAGCGTAGGAGGAAGTAATGAATTGAAATTAACCCAGAAATTTCGACATATTAAAAGCCTAGGAAGAGAAAGCTAAAGAAGACGATAAATTTGTATAAGCGAAAACGTAGAGGAGTAACAGTAGTGATTAAAAAACTGCTCATGTTGAGAAAATGGAGAATCTGAAAGATGGAACAATCTATCACAATCTAACAAGGATCAAATAATGGAGATGGAGAGTGATACAAATAGGCATAAAGGAATATGAATGGAAAATGAAATATCCGAAATCGCATAACTTAATGCAACCGAAAGACTGGTCTTATAAGGTTCGATGTGTGAGGGAGTCGCCCAATTGCATACCCACACTTAAGCTTACTTTCACATATACACACGCTGGAGTTAGTCAAATGGGGCCGCATGATTAAGTGGGACTGATAATGCGAGAGAGGATAAATGAAGCGATATATCTGTAAGCTAGTGATTCCAAAGGAAGCCAAACCTAGGGGCCCCGGAGAAGATGAGGGAGTAAGTGGAGTTAGTAGGTTATGGCTAATAAATCGTGTTTCCAGAGCCAATAAAACTTATAAGGATAGCATGCGTTAGAAAAATGGCTGAACAGCCCTCAGTGTGACTAAAATATATACTATATCATACGTTTGGAGCTTGTAATGTGGACAAATCCTCGAGTATGAAAGATATGATGTTCGAGATCAAGGGATGAAAGTTAGCCATTTATATAAGTCAGTGTATCAGGGGCAGCTGGAAGATTTCAAGTGAAGTGGATGGATAAATGAATACAACATTTGGAATCAGAAGTTAGATCATAATAGCGAAACTTCAAACTAGAATTATTTTGGCATATCAGAGGTAGATATGAAGGATAGTCATGGTGAAATTTTTTAAGGTATTGTTTCAATATACTAGAAAACTGATTTTTTTGGAAAAATGCATTTAAAATGATATACCAATATTTCATATATTAGCTGAGTTTTAAGTCAACAGTGAAAGTGCATCGTCGGTCACTTGTAGTTGCTAA